TTCTCCGAAGGAATGCACATCTTACCGGTAAAATTATGGCAAACAGAACTGGAGGTGCGGCACCAAAGCTTCCAAACGAAAAGAACATAAAACGAGGCGAATCATGCTGCGTTGTCCGCAGTGATGGAGAAATGTGTCTCACGAAGTGGAAGGATCGAAAATCAGTCATGATTCTTTCGACTGCCTGCGGCATCACTCCAGAAGGCACTTGCAGAAGATGGTCGAAGGAGGAGAGGAAGAAAGTAGATGTGCCGCAGCCGCACTGCATAAAAATATACAACAAAAACATGGGCGGTGTTGATCTTGCGGACAGATATGTGTCCTATTACAGGACAAAAATACGTACGAAGAAGTGGACCATTAGGGTATTTGCCCACTTTCTAGACCTAGCGGTTGCAAATGCCTGGATTGAATACAGGAATGACTGCAAACTCATGGACGTTGCAGCAAAAGATATTCTCGATCAATTCGAGTTTAAGAACCGAGTTGCGGAAACGCTAATTCGCGCCCACGTCGACGAAATGCAAGAAGCCGTAAACGAAGTAGAGCAGGATCTTGAAATTGGCGAGACTGCTGCACTCCCTAAACGTACCAAGGTGACTTCCATGCCGCCAAGTGAGGTCCGATTGGACAAGTACGGGCATTTTCCAGAGCATCTGCCCTTAAAGTCTCAGATGAGATGCCGCAATCAAGGTTGCAGCGGAAAAACACGCGTTAGATGCACTAAATGTGACCTGTTTCTTTGCCTTCTCAACAGAAACTGCTTTCTTGACTTTCACTCATGTTAGGCCTGTTGTACCCAAATGGGTACAGCTAATTTCTCGTCTGAAATTACAACACAAGTACGGGCATTTTCCAGAGCATGTGCCCTTAAAGTCTCAGATGAGATGCCGCAATCAAGGTTGCAGCGGAAAAACATGCGTTAGATGCACTAAATGTGACCTGTTTCTTTGCCTTCTCAACAGAAACTGCTTTCTTGACTTTCACTCATGTTAGGCCTGTTGTACCCAAATGGGTACAGCTAATTTCTCGTCTGAAATTACAGTTTTCGTTTTTTCTTCTTCCGAAAAGTGTTTCGGGGCTTTCAAATGGTTGCAATAAAGAGTTTATAAGAGTTTACCCTGGCTAGTTTTTCCTCAGGTCTGAAGAGGTTAACGTGGGCCCAAATCTGAGTACACGAGCCTACAGCATTTCCGCCTCCATCGGAAATGCAGACGCCGCAGCCGGGATTCGAACCCGCGACCTGCGGGTCAGCAGCCGAGTACCTTAGCCACTAGACCACCCCGGCGGGGCCGTCTCTGTGGCAAGGTGCTAACGAAAGTTTGCCTCTCGAATAATGAACCAGCCTCCAAATCTAGAAGAAAGGAGAAAGTGGCGGTAATCCCGTATATACACAAGGTCTTGCACCGGCTGAAAAAAGTAGCAGACCAGGTAGGCATAAAGGTGGTTTTTCCAGCACCAGTTAAGCTAAGCCAATTAAGCTAACCGACCCAGCCTATTGAAAATCGGCAGAATGCCAGAAAGAACACCGCCATCCTTCTGTGGCATGCACCGTGGACGTGGTATACATGTTGCTACTGACATGTAGCAAGAAATACATCGGCCAAACGGGCCGTTGTATCAATGATCGATTACGCTCAAAACAGAGATGGGCACCTGTCCACACATTGCAATGACTGTGGTTGTTCACCTATGAATTCAAGATGTATCATAATCAGCCGGAACAAAGATAAGTGAACTCGTGAAATCATCGAAGCAAAGACCATAATCATTGAAGGAGATAATTGTGTCAGCTCACCTTGTTAATGTTATCAGAGAAAGAAATGCTGTTCTTGAATTTGTCGATGCACTGAAAATGTCACATTGCCAAGTATGTATATATGAAGAGCGGATTTTCAATTAAAAAAAAAAAACTAGTTGCTAGACTGGCGCCCTATCCTGTCTCCTCCTTTTCATTCCTTGTCGGAGTTGCGCCACGATTATTTTATTAAACCGTTAAGCAACAACAACGAAAAAAAGTGAGCAGCAGTCGCTTATCACTTTTCCAAAAAACAAAACATGAACAAAAAGTTTGGGAGCAAAACTTTGATCTCAAGGACAGGAGCTCCGAAGAAACCTGCTCGGTATGTGAGTGACACATCCAGCTGTCGTGTCTTCTCAGAGACTACATACGAGTTATAAACGGTGAAATCTGCGTACCAAGGGAGAGACCAGAGCTGACACTGGACACCTTGCCATAGATGGCTTCCGATGATCGTGCAATTTGCCAACATAATCGTTGAATCCAGAACGTCCAGGAAAGTGGGAAAACTCTGTAGTTGATTTTACCATTTCCAAAAAAATTGCAGCGTGTAGTGCTGATGACAAAGCAGCTGATGCTGCTCCATCAAAGGACATTCCTGCTGGCCACAATAAGGAGGTTGCGAACACTGTACAGACAGCTTGCTGAAGCATTTGGTCATGCTGTGTACGCTTTCAAATAATTGGAGCTCTCGCCACATTCCAAACCATGAAAGAGCTGTTTACTGCAAGCTTAATATGCGGGAAGACAATCCTGTATCGGAGGCAGCGGCAGTTTTCTCACGAAACTTTGGAATAGTGAGACAATCATGTGGATCAAATGCTCATCCTACATCAACGTAGCTTTTGATCGTTGTAAACTTCAAAGCCTCGCAAAAGCAGTCAGCTCAGGCAATGCAGGGCTTGGTGAAGAAACAACGTGTTTTACTGGCCCTCGCGACGGCTCCAACCGAGAAGCCCAAGGTAACGAGTAAGACAATCTTGTTGAAGCAGGAAACGTGGACTAAGCAGACTGTGCACCCCGAAAAATTCAATCCGATCATAAAAACACGTCTAGTATAAAAGTAATGGACCTATATATTAAAATGACATGACTACACTTCCATTTGCTTACCACGACTGAACCGGCACAAAATTGTGAGTTAACAGATCTTTGAAACGAAAGGTGGGCTTCTCTACCCTTCTGAGACCTTGTTTGATGCTGTGAAGAAACTAGAGGGCATATTTGCTAGCTTTTTCAGCAACACAGAGCTGTGCAGCAACAGCGTTGTTGATGTGATGCTGCTCACGAAAATCTGCTGAAGTTCGACAAATGCCCCAAAAGCTCGCCCCGTATAGTATGGCTCCATGCAATATTTCTGGAGCCATAACAGGATCTTCAATGAGTCCCGCTACTTAAGCATTGTCCAAGCAGGCATCATGTGTCCTACTGCTTTTCTGTAAAGCCATGTACAAAAAAAGTGTGTCAATGGATTCAACCCATAGATCCCGTCCGTCTTAGATTCCAATATTGATTTGCAGGTTATGGTCAACCCCTACTCGCACACTGTGTATGTTGTCAGCTATGTGAGTAAGCCTAACCGTGGAATTTCAACTTTGCATAGGGCACCCGGGCAGATCAAGGCAGACATAAGGTCACCTTCATACTGACCATGCCACCGGCAGAATGCACACATACTGGGAAATCGCCAATATGAGCCCCCACATTGTTCCACCGACTCGACTAACGTGTGGAAGCTTAATGCTACACAGAATTACAAGGATAGCCCACAGAGATTGTGGCATCTACACCTTGCCGAAGTTTGTTCACCTGAAATCACCAGGAAGTTCACAGGATGGGCCGCTGCTGCGTGCCGAACTGTCGTGGAAATTATGACGGTGGACCGAAGGTCCGCTTGTTCTCCTTCCCTAAAAACGACCGCAGGATAAAATGGCAATGCGCTATTGGTCGCCAAGCTGTCGACATCGACACTCTGCGTGATCCGAAGGTAAGAATTTAAAATTTTTACCAATAAACCTTCACATAAAGCGAATTCTGTGTCGCAGATCTGTGCTAGTGCAGTGCATTACTGAGCAGTGTCACTCTAGATCTCAATCCTTGCTAGTTGTAGAAGGTAATTCAGGCAGAAAAACATGTATAAATCTTGCTAAAATATTTTAAAACATTCTTTTTACTTTTGCATATCACAGGTCTGCGAACTTCATTTGAACGCAGAGTATTTGAGGACTACCATCACTTACACGGATAGCAACGGAAAGACTATAGAAGTTCCGATGAACCTTACTAGACTAAGCAAGGATGCAGTGCCGGCGATGTTTCTGAACAGCCCTGCTTACCTATCTGACTGTGCTCCCGTTCACAAGGAGCCTGACGCAAAACGGAAGCGCCGTGAGACAGACCAGCTACAAAAGGGCATTCAGATGTTGCTTGTTTTGCAGGAAGAGGAGGAACGCAAGAATAGCGTGGCATCTTTCGAGGAGCTCGTGTCACAACTCTCACAACTTAAGTTGTCCGACTATTGGATAGTGAGCAGCACGGAAGCTGCTGTTATGTTTCTGCATATTCAGAGTAACACACTACCTCCAGAGGTTGAACGTTCTGTGGTTGTTTCCGATGCGTCGCACATTTCTGCCTACTGGAAAAAGATGAAGCTGCACATTGCTGATGTTCCCATTCCTGAAAAACTAGAGGACGTTCGGAGCTTGCAGACTATTCTTGAAAGTGTGGAGCATTTCAATGCTTCAGAAGTCTGCGAAAGATGCAGAAAAATTGAAAGCCTGCTTCCACTTTATTTTTTCTATTCTTGATGACCTGTCTAATGGTGACCTACCAGAAGAGGAATTAGAAGCGTTCAGAGTTTCTGAAGGAACAGTTGCGCCTTCTACTTAAAGAGCGAGAAGCTGTGAGATATTCTTCAGATCTTCTTATACTAGCTTGCATTTTTTATACAATCTCTCCTCACGCATACAAATTTGTTCGCAACACTGAGAAATTAATGTTACCTCATCCTTCCACAATATTCAGGCTGCAACACCCATCCTACACCACAGAAGCTTATCATCACAATTAACTGCCTGAGTTTCAGCAACCTAGCATGCTCAGTATCTAGAGGAAATTACGAAGCAGGAGTTCTCAGTGCTCTTCTGCCAGCACAGGCTGGTCTCCAAGATAGCCCAAGTGCTAAGCAACACCTTGTTGACTAACTGCTTGATTCGAGAGACTTGAGTGCAGCAGAAGACCTGCTTACAGAAAGTGCCCCTGACCATTCATCCTGTGTTGTAGCTTTCAGTGACTTGAAAAGAAGGCAGTGGCATTTTTTGAAGTGACTGTGCCATCCGTCGCTTAAGGTGAAGTTCTCGACACCCATCTGCATGGCGATCTCTCGCGCCATCTGCTCCGGAATGGGTCCGCTTATCGGAAAATTCGAACTCCGCGCACGTTTAAACCAAATGAAAATAACTTTTTCAAGTTCTTTGTGAGGCGTCGTCCGCATCCGCTTAGAGCTGAAGGCTCCATTCTTGACAGCTCCTTCGATTGTCTCTTTATTCTTCAGGATCCGCGACAGCGTCGACTTCGGGATGTCGAACTTTTTCGCCACCTCTGTCTTGGTCAGGCTGCTTCGGTCGAGCTCCTTAAGAATTTCGAGCTTTTTTTCAAGCGAAAGTGCCTGATGGGGCCACCTCTTCGTGCTCTCCATCGTGCCGAAATATCTGTATGTAGTCACGCAAGTAGGTCAAACGCAGTTAACAGCTTCTGCTGCCGCCTGCTGTGGCACAAGCCAGTATGGCTATTGGATTGGCTCGTCTGGCTATGGCGTTGGCTATACATTCCATGGTTGTGAGACTACTTTTGTTATGAGCAAGTCTGCGTTGAGTTTAGCGTTTGTGCCGTTTAACCGTAGGTGACCAATAAATAGTGTTTTGATTAACCAAAGAATTTTACTGTGCTGAAAATATAAATCTAGCTAAATGATCCTATTTAATTCTGTTAATACGGCATTTTCGTTTAACTGAGTTTCGTTTAGTGGTAGTGCACTGTAGTATGAAAAGTTGCAGTGGCGCCATCTCACGGCATCCATGCGAAAACGGGCCGCCTGTGCGAAGCTGTTCGTGCCACTACATCTGTTCTAGTTCACTATACTTACTTCGTGCATGGGCAAATTAATGGAACATGTTGTTCAGAGCAGGCTGAATAGATTTCTATAATATCAGAGACTGTACCCCGACACCATGATTGGCTTTATGTCTCATCTTTCGGCATGCGACGTCATGCTTAAGCTCAAAGAACAGGTAATAGACAAAAAAACGGTAGACACAAGGGTAGTCGTAGGGTTAGATGTTTCGAAAGAATTCGATAATGTGAAGCATTCGGCCATATTGGAGAGTCTGGGAGCTATCAATGTAGGCACGAAGACTTACAATTACGTTAAAGATTTTCTTACGAACAGAACAGCAACGATCAGCTTGGGAGAGCAGTCATTGGACGGTATTAAACTGGGAAGCAAGGGTACGCCGCAAGGATGAGTTCTGCCGCCCACTTTATTGAACATCACGATGATGGGTCTCCCCAGGAAGCTAATAGGCATAGAAGGACTGAACCATACGCTCTATGCGGACGATCTGACGATATGGATGAGCAGAAGTAGTGACAGGCACATCAAGGGGACGCTGCAGAGGGCGATCCAAGCTATAGAGGAATATCTGAAGCCAATTGGCCTCAGGTGCTCGGCAAAGAAGTCGGAGGTCCTTTTTCTAACATCGCAGACGCAGCGACGGGGAAGGGGACAGGACACTAGGCACAGCATCGAGCTGAGAGTAAACGGTAACATTATTCGCTTATTCGCATTGTCGACAGTATCGGGATCTTGGGTTTGCGGATTCAAGCTAATGGCAAACACGCCGAGACCATCCAGCGACTGGAAGCGAGTACCAAGCAGACGTGCCGATTACTCAAGCTAATAGCAAACAAACATGCGGGTATGAAGGAAGCAAACCTACCAAGGTTAGTGCAATCTTTCGTAATTAGCAGGATTGTATATGTAGCCGTCTACCTGATATTCACCAGAGCAGAGAAACACAAGGTCGAAATCATTATTAGGAAGGGGGTCAAGTCTATTCTCGGACTTCCCTCAAGCACATCAATGAACAAAGTCTTAAGTTTTGGGGTGTCCAACACCTTAGGAGAGCTCATTGAAGCGGCGACAGTATCGCAATATCAGAGATTGCTGCGCACTCAAACTGGTAGAAGAATCCTGGAGCGACTGGGGTTCGAGCCCCAGGCGTATTCCAAGTAGAGAAGCAAAGTCCCACCGCAAGTCAGGGACAGGCTAAGAATGCTCCCGTTGCCCAGGAGTATGTACCCGGTTCATCACAAGAGCAGGCGAAAGGACAGAGCTGAGGCGTTGCAGAAAAGCCTGAAAGGCAGGCAGGACGTGATTTAAACGGACGCGGCCAAATACAAGCAAGGTAAAGTATACGCAGCCGTAATTACACGCGAAAACGAAGGCCCTGCCTCGTGCTGCAGCGTCAGACATTTAAGAGCAACGAAGGCAAAAGAAGTTGCCATTGCACTGGCTTTGACTCAAAATAATGTGAGAGTTATTGTTAGTGATGCAAAATCTGCAATCAGAAATTTTGATGCGGGCAGAATCTCTGTTGCAGCTGTACACATATTAGCCGTCGGACAGCCCCCGGCGAAGCAGGTTTCGCTAATCTGGACACCGGCTCATCAGGTTTGCGAGGGAACGAGAAGGCGCACACGCTGGCCCCAGGTCTCACTTTCCGTCTCAACAACATCCCCAAGCGAGGAACCCCTACAGACCGCTGACGAACTGAGCATTTATAACGAAATTCTTAACCATTATAAGCTGGGGCGTAATAATTCCCCGGGAGCGCATAAGAACCTTTCAAAAAGCGAGGAAGTTAAGTGGAGAAAGTAGCAAACAGGAGTATTTCCGAACCCACAATTGTTGAGCCAGTGGCATACCTCGGTGTACAGCCCTCGGTGTAGGCATTGCGATGGTAGAGCGGACTTAGTCCACATGGTTTGTAGCTGTCCTAACTTTGATGAGCCAGACAGAAGCAGAGAATCCTGGGAGTCCTTGCTACTCAACGAAGAGGAAAATGCTCAATGGCAAGTCATCGATCTCACCCTCATCGCCGCCACGTCCTAAGGGATCCCGGTCGACGGTTAGGGAGGATGAGTGGGTCTAGGCTGACACCTACACCCCATCATCTATTTGACGGGTGCCAATAAGTTATTTCTCTCTCTTCAGCAAGCAAAGCTTTGGTTCTGTGTATGAAGAAAGCTGTTTGTGGCACACTGTTTTGATCATTGTCATTATTACTTACTGTTTGAAATGAATAGATATGCACCATATGCAATGAAAAAAACAGCCAGTTCCAAGTGCAAGTATTTATTTTTGCTTCTTTGACACCTGCCATTTTCATTAGTGTTTGCCACATATCTTCCAGCACCTTGCTGCCCCCAACCTGTGCATATATTCTTCGACAGTGTTGTGCATACAACTAGTGCATGATTTTTGGTTCCCCTGGACAGCCCGAGCTGTATCACCATCATCTAGGTCTTCTTGCTCGGAGTCATCAAAATTAACGCATAAGTTATGGAGCAGCGCAGGCAATGAAAAACTTGTTCAGTCACAATAAGATGTGGCGCTCAGGGTGAATGAGCTGGCAGTATGTTTCCTTTAAGCAGCCAAACTGTTTACTATTACGGTACTTACAGCTGAAAACCTTTTGTCAAGACCTATGGGTGTATTTTGCAACACTGTGAAGTCTGAGTAAAAAGTTACACAGAAGGATAGGCTGTATATCTCTAGAAGCTAATGGTTAAGCATTTCTAACACATAGTTAAAGAAGTTTTTGTAAAAGTGATGGTATTTTTGGTATCTTAAAGTATAAAGAATTTCCTGTTCTCTTCTAATACAGATGTCAAAGTTAAGGCCACAGATTGCTTAAAAATTAAAACTAATGGTGGAAGCAGTTGTAGTCGGTGAAAATGACCTTCTTATTTGGGGATTGTATTTTTTCCGCAAAAGTAGTCGTCACGTGTTTAGACAACACAAGTAAAAAATGAACAAGTTTTAGTTAATGCATACATGCAGTAATGCACTTTTAGTACAGAACTCTCTGGGGCACAAATCATTCAAAAAAATACCAGCTTACTTGCCATCTTTAATTCAATGGACAGTTGTTCTACGTTGGAAATAAACGACACAACAGATGGACTCACAGCCAGAAGTGTCAGCCATCCTAAGGAGGAGTCTTTGGAATGAGCTCTTCGAGCGGGTTGCCACCCTCTCACGCTTGATTTGTTGGTTTCACACCAGCGCATATTTAAGCAATATTAATTCGTAGGGAAGAACAGAACACATGCCTGTATTTACAGATGGGCGTATATTATAACTGAAAAAGTGCACGACAGAAGAGCAGAAGCGCGTTGTGCAAACGTACTCCAATCTTACCAGATAAATGCGAGTTTCTGCAGATCTTGCGAGCACTCGCATGTGGTTGCATGTTGCTGTCGAGCATGCAGGCGAAACACAAAAACTCAGGGCAGACAGAAGTTTGCCTATGGAAGCAGACAAGACAGTATTTCTTTTTTGATTTTCCCACTATACTTCAACTTCGTGGTGTACTGTACCTCGACGTTCTTCCATGCACACCAAATGCATTTAGATATCTTTACAGGCAGGTGGACCATCCCACCAAATGTTTTGTGGTACAGTACACAGCAGCATCACAGTCAAACTACATACTGAACTTGCAACTGTCTTTTCGAGAAACTACTCCCAGAAACAGAGCATCGTGTTTCCCACCTTGGTTCAAACGACGTGACAATGACCTACAGGTGCCAACCAGCCACACATGCCGCACGTAATAAGCGTAGCAAGGCAGATACTCTCCATTGCCTCCAAATCTTTTGGGCAGCATGTTTGGCAGGAGCAACCTGAAAACGAGAGTATGGCACGGCGGCCGTTGCTAGGAGCAAGTAGCGGCGCGTCCCTGCGAGCGTGTAGCCAATACCGAGCCGCCGCAGTTGCCATATGTTGAGCATTCTGGATATTGCAAATGCGCGTATTGGAAGCGGTGGACGTTCTGCGCCGTCACATCGGCTCACAGGGTGACAAGGCAGCATTGGATGAGTACGCTTCTCTGCACCGCTGTCTGACGTCACCTTTGACGCAAAATAATGGCCGTTTTTTTAGCTAAATAAATATTGAAAGTGAGTGGTACTGTGTTGGCACCCACCACGTTATCATTTGGTTTTTGCGATAGTTTTTCTAGACTTTAATCGAAAACAGCATGTAACGAAAACCTAGAAGAAAGGTTGAAAATTCGCAAACTTTTTCCAATTTCGTTACATTCACGTTTAACTGCATTTCTTCTTCATGGATGGTGCAGTGTGTTCATGTTCAACGTAGTACATGTAAGAAGCAGCAGTTCAAGTCATTGACGGTGAGCTAACGATGCCTTAAAAGCACAATAGAGAAAAACTTAAGAAAACTACGGAAGCACGATGTACCACACAATGTACAGGCCTGAAAGATGACAAGCAGGTGCTGGTTCAGACACACTCACCTTCGGAGAACTGATGCACTTGGCACTCACTCTTTGGATGAGAAAGGAGTCAGGAACAGGAACATGTGCAGTGGACTGAAGTGGATGTACAATGAAA